AGGGCACGAATGCGGGAACTCTCAGCTGCTGCATGCGGGATCTAGTTCCCCAACTAGGGACGGGACGGAACCCTGGCCCCCAGCACTGGGTGCTCAGAGTGTTAACCACTGGACCACCGGGAAAGTCTCTCCAGTTCCTTCTAAGTCTCGCTGGGGTTCATTATGTTGATTGCAAGACCCCTTGGTGAGAGGTTGAAAAGTCTGCTTGGGACAGTCTTACGACCAGCTCCCGCAGCTTACACTCAGGAAGTACAGAGCGGTCAGCCTGGAACAGGCCAAGGTGAGGGGCACGGCTCCAGCTAGTCCCCGGAGGGGGGCAGAGTGCGAATTGGCCCCATCGGGAGAATCAGTTGCAAGAATCAGAGTCATCACTCTGTGACACTCACACCACCCCCCCCACCCCAGGCTCCTGTCTTCAAGGCCACATTTGTGTGGACACAGCTGGCTAAAATTCGTCTCCCCCACCCCCAGCCCCAGGCCGAGCAAGGCAAGGCTCAGGGCCTCAAATAGACACGGGGAGACAGGGAGGGGGGAGTCACATATTGGCATTTCAAGGCAGGTTTTAATCGTTTGCAATACCTTCCCCAGTCACATTCATCAAGGCCAATGGGACTCTTTTTATACATGGTGAACGTTTTCCATTTATTCTGTATTTGGATGTGCACAGCACATACATCACAGTATGGGTCAGCACCTGTATAAAACTACAGACAGATTCCAAAAACAGCAGTAATACAGAAACCGCAAATCCCCATCACAGCAACAGAAACACTTTACAATATTTCAAAGATTCAACGACACCTCTAAACGCTTCATACTTGGTTCACTGAATATCTACACACGGTCAAGGATGGCCAAGTTCTCCCCTTAAGACATCTGAGTTCCTGACAATCTATCTGATCAGGCTCTGAGACAAGGCGTCGTGCAATATGCAAGGCATCTGAAACAATCTGGTTTGTTACTATGTGAATACAGTAAATACAGAACAGCCATAAATTCCAGCCCCTGCTCCCCCCCAAACCTTCCCCCCTCCACCCCACCCCCACCCCCCGCAATCAGCACCCAGATCTCTGAGCATCGCTCAATACTCCTGGAGTCTAGGGCGTGGTTTAAAATTTTTTAAAAATTTTACTGCCCGGTCTGAACAGCAGTGTGAGATGTAGGGTCCCATCTTAAGTGGCTTCTTTCTTCTAGGCTTCAGTTTAAGAACAGTATTTTAAGTAGATGATTTGCATTTGAACAAATAGTTTTAAAAAGGAATGTGAAAGACAAAAACGCCAATCAGATTTTCCAGTCTTGCTGTCTGTAGACTCCCATAAAGTTAATTCGGGAGACGGTTCAGAAACATCTTAGGAGAGTATTAAAGTCTTGAGGAAACATTCGGGGCATCTCTGGTAGCAAGCTAAGGTCATTTTGTATAAACTCGAAAAAGTCATTCATTAAAATTAAATGTTTGCCATCACCTCGGAACTTTTTTTAAACCTCACCGACCCTTGCCTCTTCCATCTTTGCTTCCAGGACAGGGGTTACATTTGTAAAATATATAAAGAAAAATATAAGGTTACTTGGTGACCATACAGTGGACTCTAACAGCTGTCTGCAAATATTTTCACGATGATTATCCTTACTAAAAGTAAATCATGGGGTAAAGATAGCTCAAACGTGACAAGGTTCGAATGGGGCGCACCAACGCTATCTGCAATCCTTTTTGGCTACATATGGAAAAAAAAAAAAGCCACTTTGGATGGCAAAACTCTACACTCGGTCTGAGCTTTCTGCAGATTTTGCCAGATGAGCAGTTGAAGGGCTTTTGAGGTAGATATGAAATCCACTTAATCAGGAATGCAACGGACAGAAGCAGCACCTTCCTGCATGCAAACTGCCTTAAGTGTTTTTGGACAATTACAAGGACATGTCACCTAAATGAATAGCTAGTTCCAGCCCAAAGCTTCCCAAACACAGGGAAGTGTTTTTAAAAAGAAGATATATATGTATATATATGCTATTACTTATCAGAAGTCTCCGATACCACAAACTGTCTCTCACCCCTCGGGTTTTGGTGGTGGTTATAAATCCAATCTTGTCCATTCCCAGCCTCCCACTGGTATATCAATTCCTCTCCATCAGATTTTACAAAATCGCTTTGTTTTTGCCTTTCCCCAATGGCCACAGAGAAACAGTGGCTGTGGCCAGTCCAAAAAAGGAAAACAGGAGTTTATAAAGTTGCCCACGGATCTCCCCCATCTGGTAGACTGAGGAAGATTGACTGCAGTGAAGTTCAAAGGTCATACATGGCAGATCTAAAAACGGAGTGGCCGCGGTGGTCTCGACAGCGCGCTTTCTGTACCCGAAGTAAACCGATACGTCCCGATGAATATCTTCAGGGCAGAAAGGGAGTGGGGCACTGAAGGATGCTAGGAAGGGAGCCAAGCCTGGGAGCTTCCTTCACTGGCTTCCAAAGCCCCAGGAAACCTTTCCAGGCACAGAGATGCTCACTGCCAAACCACAGGGGACAGTGCAAAGCGGGGGTTGATATCGGAGGCTGACCTCACCGGTTTAATACAAGGAATAGCAGCAGCCACTTGTGAAAACTTTCCAACAAGTTGAATAAACCCAGTGGGAGGGTCTCTACTGTTTTACCAGAAAAACTCAGACTTTGGCAGGGGGTGCGGGGGGTGAGGGGGTGGGTGGGTTGCTTTTGTTCTTCCAGAAAAATACAAAACACATCCACAGAACCATAAATAATTTGGTGGCAATATATACACATTTAAATAATTAATTTAAATATCTTACATCTACTCTTGCATTCAACTGTCCATTCGAAGAAAGTGCACCAAGGGGACCCTCGGTACTCCCCTCCCGGGGGGCGCTAAGGGTCACAGCCTGGGGAGGAAGTGGGTGACCTTCATGGTGGGGGACACCCGGTTCCCCTTCTTGGTCTTCCCGTTCTTACTCAGGGCGATGAACATGCCGGGGTACCGGTAGCACTCGTAGGCGTTGTAGTTGTTGGGGAGGAGGATCTCTTTGAACTTGCACTCGTCGGTGAAAAAAGGCTGGGTGGGGGGGAGGAGGAGCCGTGTCAGGGGGCCATCGCGGGCCAAGGGACCCCGGGGGGCAGTGGTCAGGGACTCCTCTCTCTCCCAGCCCCTCCTTGGCTGGGAGGTCCCTCCTGGGAAGTCAGGGTATCCAGACTTTCACAGGGTGAGGAGAGGGACCCCGCCAGTCCCCAGCAACTGCTACTTCAGGCACCTGCCCGGCACCTGGGAGCCAGAACAGTGCATCCTCACTGTGTCCGCCTAGAGACTGCCGTCCTGCCCACTGGGACCTGCCCCGGGGGCTCCAGGCAACAGCTCCCGATGGCACCCTTGACCCACTGGCAAGTGACCGCTCAAGGATGGCGGGAGCGCTGGCCCTGTCTTGGGCCTGGGCCTCTGCTTTGGGCTGGCTGGGCACCCCAGGTGGCTTAGTAGTAAAGAATCCCCCTGCCAATGCAGGGATGCAGGTTGGATCCCCAGGTTCAGGAAGATCCCCTGGAGAAGTAAACTGAACCCACCCACTCCAGGATTCTGGCCTGGGAAATCCCATGGACAGTGGAGCCTGGCAGGCGACAGTCTGTGGGATCGCCAAAGAAATCCAACAGGACTGAGCGACACAACAGGGGCGACTGGCCCTGCCTCAGGATGGGGGTTACTTTCAATCCCGCGACCCCCACCGCAGCTCCACGATCCTGGCGTCGGGCGGCCTGGAAGCGTCACGATGCTGCCCGGCTCAGCGGGGCCCACGGTACTCACCGAGCCGTAGAGCCTGCCCCGGCTGCTCATGGCCACGAAGAACCGGCTGGCCACCCCGAAAATGCTCACCACCCCGCGCTCCACCGGCGACAGCTCCAGCAGGCCTGGGGGCGGGGCGCGGGTCATTCCCGGGAGCCGGACCCTCGGCCCGAGCTTCCCACCTGGCCCCCTCCTCCGCCTGCGCCCCTCCAAGACCCCCACTTGTGGGGGTGGAGATGAGTGTAAATAGCCCTGCTCCCTCCGCGGTGCAGGCCGCCCCGCAAGGGCTCCAGGAGCCCCGCGGGCTCGGCCCCTGTCCCGGCCCCGCGCCGGCCGCGCCCAGTCCGGGACTGCAGGAGCCGGGTGGCCCCATGCGGCCCGAGTCCAGCCCCGACGTGGGCGCGCGAGCCGGCCCCCCGCGGGTTGCCGGTGGCTGGCGCGCTCCCGGTGCCCACGGGCGAAGGCGCTGGAATCCGGCACCCAGATCTCGGACTTCTGAAGGTGGGAGGCGGGCTCGGCCGCCGGCTTGCACAAAGCCAAGAGTGCTGGCGTACCCGGCGTCTCTACGCAGGAGGGGACCGGACCCCGTGTCCACTCTGGTTCCCAGAGCCCAAGAGCAGGTGCCGGCGAAACCATCCTGTGCGAGCTGGAAGGGGCGGCCGCTGCCCCTGGCCCCGACCCTCCCCGTCCGGCCCGCCCCACTCACTGTCACTCGTGTCCGCGTGCACGCCGCCGATGCGGCCGTCGGGGAGCAGCTGGAGGTGGAAGCCGATGCCCACGTTGCAGTAGAGCCTCCGCAGCCGCTTGATGCCCAGCAAGTAATCGCCGGCGCCGCTCTGGACGGCAGCCTCCTTGGGCTGCGCGGCCACTGGCAGGCGCGCCAGCGAGCGCGCCACCAGGCTCTCCCAGCGGCGCTCCAGCTCGGCCTCCAGCGTGCCGTTGGGGGCGGTGGGCGCCGCGGCGCCCCCTCGGCCGGCCCAGGGCGCCAGCACGGCCAGCAGCACCGCCGGGAGCAGCGCTGCCGCGGCCGCCCCGGGCCCCGCCATCCCCGCCCTCGGGCCGTGCGTCCGCGGGTGGGTCAGTGCTCCCGGGAAGCCGGCGGGCGAGCTCGTCTGGGGCTCGGGGGCGGGGGGAGCTTGCGGGAGCGCACTGCCTGGGCCGGGGCAGGTAATGCCCGGCCTGGGGAGGGAGAGGAGGGGGGAAGCGGAAGGCTAGCGACGGGGCCCCCGGATGCCGGGAGCTACCTGGGCTGCATGGAGAGGCGGGCAGAGGTGGCAGGACGCACGGCTCGGGCTGGGACCCTGCGGAGCGGTGCGCGCCTCCCTGCGCGCTGGGCCCGCGGCCGCCGAGCCGCTATATATAGCCGATAGCCACCCCCCCGCCCCCTTCTACTCCCGCAGGGGGCCGTTCGCGTTCGCCTGGGCGCCCGGGGCGCTGTGGCGCTCGCGGCGGCTGGTCTCAGGCCGCCTGCCAATCAGGACTGGGGGAGGGAAGGCGGTCGGGGCCCAGCACCGCCGCGGCCACCTGGAGGGTCCCCGGCCCCCGCCCCTGCCCACGGACCTGGGGGTCCCGACCCTGGCGTCTCCTCCGCTCTTGTCTTTCCGCCCCAAGTTTGGCCTCTTGCACTTTGCCCCTGCCTGTCGGGTCTCTGTGGGTGCCCCTCTCGGCCGCAGCCCTCAGCCAGCGCCCTCAGCTCCCGAGAAGTCACTCCTGGCGCTTTGCCTTTCAGGGTTTCCCAGAACCTGTGCTCTGCTGGGACCCCCTTGGGAATGAGTGGCGGGTAAGGGCAGTGCACACCGGGAGGAAGAATCCAGCGCTATGGGCTGGAGGGAGGCAAGGGCCAGGGGTTGGCCACCTGACCGCTGGTGGTCAGGGATGGAGCTGTGGACACCAGGAGGAGGCATGCCTTGAGCAGGGGGCCTGGACGAGTGTTGCTGAGAGAAGACGGGGTGCGCTGGTGCACCCCCAAGGCCACTGGCCCTGCCTGCACCCCCATACACACCCACTGCCACGCAAGGACAGGGGTCAGGGCCAGAGAGGACATCGCCGCGCCCCCCCTTCCCTTTAATTCTGCAGTGGGAATATTGAGGAGCCAGAGACAGAACCCCCAACCCCACCCAGGCCTGGCTTTGGACAGGCTCCCTTCCCCCACCTGCTGTCCCCACCCCCCACCCCCACTGTGCCCATTATGGCCTGATGGGGCGGGGTCCAGCAAGATGCTGGCTCACCCAGGTGTGAAAACCCCTGTTCTCAGTAGTACCTGAAGAGGCTGCGGCCACCTCCCAGCAGCCCCGCCCAGCCGCCGCCGCAGGGGGCCTGGAGTCACCTACCCCCAGCTGCCACCAGCGCCTGTGACCAGGTGCGTCATTCCGAGGCCATTGCAGCCTCCCTGCCTCCACCCCATTCCTGCCCGAGGCGCCCGGACCGACCTCCGTGGCCTGCTGGGGCTCATTCGCACCACAGAGGGGACCTCGGGGGCTTGAGGTCTCCGGCTTGAGCCCAGAGACAGGGCTCCCAGGGCTCAGTGAGCGGCCCTGGCAGGACGGACCCCCGGTCTCCGGTTTCCTCAGGGAGGTTCCTTGTTCTCCTCTGGGCCTGTGGCCTGACCACCCAGTGGCCGCCCGGGCCGGGTCTTCCTGGGAGGCCAGGTGACGGCTCTAAGGCCGATGTGCAGCTGCGTGGACCCCGGGCCCCCCTCCCGACAGGACACAGGAGACCAAGATCTGCCCCAGCTCTGAGCCTAGGTGACCTGGCTAGGTGACCTGGGCAAGTCCTGCCACCCTTGGGCACCAGAACCCTTACTTACAGAAGAACTTGGAAAGTGGGCTCACCTCTGGGTCCACATGGGTACCTGCTCTGGGGAGGTGCGACCCAGGTCCTCCGAGCCCCCCACCCCCCAGCTCCTGGTAGGGTGTGCCCCTCTTCCCGCAACCCCCAAGCAGAGCTCCCTCCCCGGCTCCGCTCTTTGCTGGCGAGTTCAGCTCAGATTGAACCCGGGTTTGATTCCTGGGTCGGGAAGATCCCCAAGAGGAGGAAATGGGAACTTACTCCAATGTATGTTCTCGCCTGGAGAATCCCGTGGACAGAGGAGCCTGGCGGGCCACAGTCCATGGGGCAGCAAAGAGTCGGACATGAGTGAGTGACAAGTTAAAAGAGGAGGATATAACACGGTGGTCTTTCTGCTTGGCCACGCCCTGCCCACCCCCCTCGCCCCTCGTCTCCTAGAGACTCCCCACCAACCGCGGTCCTCAGGATCTTCCTCCGTCTCTCCAGCCTCTGGACTGCTTCCTGCTCAGGGCTGCCCTCAGATACCAGCCACTCCGAGATCTGCCATAACGCCCCCCTCGGGGGCAGCCTCCTCTGCCCAGCCCATCTAGTTGTGCTTTCTTCTCGGCCCTTAAGGGGCCTTCCTTTCCTTGCTGACCCCTCCTCTCCACTAGAAATAGGCCCTGATGCACCTGAAGAGGCTGGTCTACCAAGAGTCCTGTGGTCCCCACTTACAGGTCCCATGGAGGGTCTGTCTCTCTTGGTCATGTGATGTTAGACTTTCACTTCCGATCCTGCTCAGTTTCTCCATCTGTATAATGGGTATAGTGGGCAGGAGGAGAAGGGGATGACAGAGGATGAGATGGTTGGATGGCATCACCGACTCAAGGGACATGAGTTTAAATAAGCTCCTGGAGTCAGTGAAGGACAGGGAAGCCTAGCGTGCTGCAGTCCATGGGGTTGCAAAAAGTTGTATATGACTGAGCGACTGAACGTCAACAACGTAATTGGCATAACAGTAACTCATTTCAGGGGTTGGCAACCTCTACAAGAGAGGCTGGGCTGTAGGGAAAGGATGAAAGCAGTCAGTCCTTCAAACCACCAGCTCTTAGGGCCCAGCTCACCATCCACGTTCAGAATGTGTGAAATAATCACTCACATTTTTATCCTACAGGAGGCCCCACCTCGCGTCACCAACTGCGCCTGGAGGGAGAAAGTGTCAGACGGAACAAAAACTCAGAACTGAAACCGGCCAGTCCCGCCTACAATCCTCTGGTGACCTTTTCTAACCTACAGAAAAATTGCAATGTCATGTCTTCTCGGTTTCTTCTCCTTTGTAAGAGTGACAGGGCTTCTCAGAATCCCCAGCCCCAGCTGTTAAGGACTTACTTGGCTTCATAGTAATAATAATAATAATAAAGTGCTGCATAAAGATTCAATTCCAGTCCTTAGGGTGGAGTGTCAGGGCCCAGTTTGGGGCAGGCTTCCCAGGCTGCAGACTTTGCAGACTTGCTCAACCGTTTGCTTGTTCAACTTCCTTTTCTTGATCTTGGTGAGAAGACCCTCACAATGGCCTCAAGGGGAAGGTTAAGGCTGTCTGCACGGGCTGCAATTGCTGGGAGAAATATCAACAACCTCAGATATGCAGATGATACCACTCTAAAGGTAGAAAGTGAAGAGGAACTAAAAGGCCTGTTGATGAGGGAAAGAAGAGGAGAGTGAAAAAGCTGGCTTGAAACTCAACACTCAAAAAGCGAACATCATGGCATCTGGTCCCATCACTTCATGGCAAATAGAAGAGGAAAAAGTGCAAACAGTGACAGTTTTCATTTTCTTGGGCTCAAAGACCACTGCAGATGGTGACTGCAGCCATGTAATTAAAAGACACTTGCTCTTTGGAAGGAAAGCTATGACAAACCTAGATAGTATATTAAAAAGCAGAGACATGATTTTGCCAACAAAGGTCCATCTAGTCAAAGCCATGGTTTTTCCAGTAGTCATGTACCAATGTGGGGGTTGGACCATAAAGAAGACCAAGTGCCAAAAAATAAAAGCTTCTGAACTGTGGTGCTGGAGAAGACTCTTGAGAGTCCCTCGGACTGCAAGGAGATCAAACCAGTCCATCCTAAAGGAAATCAATCCTGAATATTCATTGGAAGGACTGATGCTGAAGCTGAAGCTCCAATAATTTGGCCACCTGATGCGAAGAACCGATTCATTGGAAAAGACTCTGATGCTGGGAAAGATTGAGGGCCAGAGGAGAAGGGGGCGACAGAGGATGAGGTGGTTGGATGGCACCACCAAGTCAACAGGAGTGAATTTGAGCAAACTCCAAGAGATGGTGGAGGACAGGGAAGCCTGGCGTGCTGCAGTGCACGACTTAGCAGCTGAAGAACAGCACTGGCTGCAGTCACCCAGTAAGTGTGGTTTCTTTAAGAACATCTAAAGAAAGGGGAAATTAGGCCGGCTTTTTGAAAGCCCTTTGGAAATTGTGGCTAAATACATATAACATAAAATTTACCATATACCAGGACTTCCCTGGTGGTCCACTGGTTAAGAATTCACCTTCAAATGCAGAGGACTCGGGTTCAGTTCCTGATCGGAACATTAAGATCCCATATGCTGTGTAGCAGGGCGACTAAGCCTGTGAGCCACAACTCAGACCCAATGCAGCCAAAAAGAGGTAAGTCTACAAATATTTTTTCCAGAAAAGGAAAAATTTTTCTACTATCTCATGTCTAAGTGCACAGTCAGCGGCGTCAAGAATGTCCACATCGTGTGCCTTCACCAGCCATCATTCTTCTACGGAACTTTTTCTTCTTCCCAAACTGAAACTCTGTGCTCAGTAAACGCTAAGTCACCATTCTCCCATCTCCGTGAATGTGTCTCCTCTAGGGACCTCCTATACGTAGAATCACACAATATTTGTCCTCTTATGTCTGGTTTATTTCTCTGAGAGTAGGGGGAGAAGGAGGTGACAGAGGATGAGATGGTTGGATGGTATCATCAACTCAATGGACATGAGTCTGAACAAACTCTGGGAGATGGTGGAGGACAGGGAAGGCTGGCATACTGCAGACCCTGGGTTTGCAAAGAGTCGGACACGATTGAGTGACTGAACAACAACAGTGAAAGTCCTTGAGGTTCATCCACAATGTAGCCTGGGTCAGGATTTCCTTCCTTTTTAAGGTTGAACCGTATTCCGCTGCATAGCTGTAGCACATTTAGTTTATCCATTCTGTTGGTGGACATGTGGGTTGTTTCAACCTTCTGGTTGCTGTCCACCATGCTACTTTGAACACATGAATACAAGTATCTGTTTAAGACCTTGCTTTCACTCTTTTGGGTGTCCATCCAGAAGTGCAATTGCAGGATCACATGGTCATTTCTAAGTCTAATTGTTCAAAGAGCCTCCATACTGTTTCCCGTCGCTTTTTGTTTTGCTTCTGTTGTTTCTGTTTGTTTATAGCCATGCCCCACGGCTTGGGGGATCTTAGTTCCCCCACCAGGGATCGAACTGGGGCAGGGAAAGGGTGACTATTAACCTCCGCGCTGTCAGGGAACTCCCTGCATGTTTGCTTGATTTTAAAATGGTATTTTATTGAAGTGTAGGTTATTTCATTTCAGTCAGTTCAGTCGCTCAGTTATGTCTGACTCTTTGCAACCCCATGGACTGCAGCAGTTAATTTACATTGTGTTAATTTCTGATGTATCGCAAAGTGGTTCAATTATACCTATATATATATATATATATACACTCGTGGCTTTTTTTTTTTTTTTGGATCACCGTGATCGTGGGGCATCAAGGGGATGGGATACAGAGATGAGTCTGTGTCCACGCCATTCCCTATCTTTGCTTCTCTTCTGGCTCCTCTTCAATGCTGGGCTCACAGAGCCAGGTCCGAGTGATAGACACAGGGCCAGGTTTTACAGCTGGAAATCAACAGAGCAACTCACCAGGTAGAGGCATGCGTGTGCGGGTCTCAGCACATATTAGATACTCAAGCCTGGGGAAACGAGCTTCCAGGAGAATTATATGAGGTGACAGGTGCTCAGCTGGAAGGGGGCCGGGGCACACAGTCTTAGTGGGTTGGCGGGTGCTGCCCCCTTGCCCAAGGGCCCCGGGCACGGCCTAGCCCTGCCTCACCTGTGTCCCCGGGGCAGTTTGCTTAGCCTCTCAGCATCCAGTATTCACCTTCACATGGTCAGGGAGTGAAGAAGAGGACGCAGACTCGTGAGGAGCCCCGGGCGCTGTCCCTACCGAGAGCCGCCAGGGACTGGCAGCATCTCCCCAGATGACCGTGCAGTGGGGACATGTCCCCAGCACTGGGTGCTCCGGGATCCCCACTGGCCTCTTGTCCTCCCCCAGCCCTGGGAGGTGGGGCCAGGCTCACCATCTCCATTTCACAGGAGGGTCCACAGGAGCTCAGAGCCTTTGAGCAGCGCAGTCAAGATCCCCAGGTGGCCGACAGCAAAGGCGGGACACACACTCGGGCGCTGGACACCAAACCAGACTGTTTCCTCACGTGCCAAGTGGAGCTCGTGTCTGCCCGGTGGGATGTCTGGGGTCTAAACTGTGCGGGTGGAAAACCTTGACTCAACCAGGATGGAAGTCCACCTCCACAGGTTTGTGCCGTGACCCCGAGAGATCCATCCGCTGACAAAATCGAAGTGAGAATTCACTGGCGGCCCCCCGGTGAGGGGCTCATGAGACCCATGGTCAGACCCAGCTCCCCATCTGCCCCTTTAAACATTTCAGATCAAAGACAGAGCTGGAGGGACACAGCCCTGGGTATTCAATCTGACCCTCTGGTTTCACAGTGGTCCGCAGAAAGCCAGAGGAGAAAGGGGCCACCGGTGTTATCCTGAAGTCCAGCCCCCTTGCTCACTCCCGTCTCCTTGGCTGTCTAGGTCTCAGGCTGCCGTCGAACTCCCAGAATTTACATCGTGGGGCGGGAGGTGCCCCAAACCAGCAAAGCAACAAGATCCCGAAGCTTGGAGACCGTGGGAGACACACCCAAAGGGCCACGGAGGGTCCCAGGGTCCTGCGGCCAGCACTGCTGAGACCGACAGGATGAAAAGGGGCCTCCACGGAAGGGTGGGGTGCCCTCTGCAGATGGAATAGTGGGGCAAGAGATACCTGGGTGTTTCAGAAGCAAGAGGTGCTGGGAGACGTGGGCAGGCCTGTGGCCTGGGCCGGGGCGGGGTGGGGCGGGGCGGAGTGGGGGTTGCCTCCCCTTCCAGGGGTGCTCAGGCCAAACCTCAGCTCACCCTGCGGAGCGTGGCTGGTGGGGCTGAGCACCAGGAAGGCTGGGGTCGGAGCATCAGAGGCGTGGTCAGGGCGTGGCTCACGCACCCCGACACTGGGATCCACCCTCTTCCCCTCAACCTCCGGGTCAGTTGCAGCAGTAGGTGTGAGAAGACGGAGGAGGTTCTCTGCACCCCAACCACTGCCCCCCCAACCACTACTGCCACCCACCCCCGCCCGCCAACAGCCGTCACCTACCCCCCAGCCTGAAGGCCTGAAGGCCCTCAGAGGAATCACCATGGGGGCAGTGGGGGTGGAAGAAAGGTCCTTGGAAAAGTCAGCTCAGGCCACCTCACCCCTCCCTACCACGTCCCCTCCTCTGCTTGCTCCCACCCCAGGCCCCTGGATGGACTCTCTGAGCCCAGGGAGGGCTCTGGACCCTGACCTCAGGCTGGGTGCCACATCTGTGCCCCACTGGGTCTCTTTTCTTTCCCTCTCTCCCCTTCTAGGAGAGGAAAGCCAGGAAAAAACCTCAAAATATTATCCTCCCTTGCTCGCTTATCTTTCGGGGTATTAATCAATCCTAGGCCCCGAATCAAGGGACAATGATTTCCCTAAGACTGTTGGGGTGATGGGATGCATGGGCCAGGCTAGGTCCAAAGGCTAGTCCCTCCTCTGTGGGGCTGTGTGGCCTCAGGCAAGTCACTCACCCTCTCTGAGCCTCAGTTATTATTATTATTATTATTTTTTCTGTTGAGCTGGCCTATAATGGTGTTCACCACGGACGGTTTGTGGGAGGACCGAGTGAAATGAATGGAGATAGGGTTGAGGGGTGGACGAGTGGGAGGAGGGATGATTGTGTTCCTAAGAACGTGGGTTCCTTCAACCAGACCTCAGCTTCTCAGAGCCAAAATGGAACAAGCCGTGACCTGGTGTTTCAAGAACCCCTGGTGTCTCTTCCCAAGGCTCACCTTGTCTTTGGAGGCTGTGGGGCTTGAGGCTCATGATGGGGCTGGTTCCCTTCTGCTTCCATCCTAATCGCCCGGAGAGGGGCTGCCAGAGCCCAGATGGGGAGGGAGAGCTAAGAAAGGTGTCTGCAGTGGTACCCAGACAGAGTATCTGACTGTCTCTGGACACTTCCCACCGGGGCTGGGGGGCAGACTCACGTGGGCTCACTGCAGAAAGGAGATCTCATCTTTGGGGCTGCTGCCTCCCTTCGTCTCTCCCTCAGGTCTCTCCTAGGCACTTCTAAACTTGCTGTGTTACCGGCCTGAGATGCTGTAAGGCCCACAGAGAGCTGCTATTCGTTGTTCACTGCTGTTTGCCAAGTTGTATCTGGCTCTTTGCGACCCCATGGACTGCAGCACTCCAGGCTTCCCTGTCCATCACCATCTGCCAGAGTTTGCTCAACCCCGTGTCCATTGAGTCGGTGATGCCATCCAGCCATCTCATCCTCTGTCGTCCCCTTCTCCTCCTGCCTTCAGTCTTTCCCAGCATCAGGGCTTTTCCAGTGAGTTGGCTCTTCACATCAGGTGGCCAAAGAATTGGAGCTTCAGCATCAGTCTTTCTAATGAATATTCAGGACTGATTTCCTTTAGGACTGACAGGTTTGCTCTCCTTGCTGTCCAAGGGCCTCTCAGGAGCCTTCTCCAGGACCACGGTTAGAAAGCATCCATTCTTTGGCGTTCAGCCTTGTTTATGGCCCAGCTATCACATTCGTAAGTGGCTCCTGGAAAAACCATAGCTTTGACTGTACGGACTTTTGTGTATCTGGATAAATCTGCCCTGTCCGAATATGGATTTCTACTGACCTCAGTCTGGAAATTACTAATGGTATTTTTTTGTGGGGGAGACATGTGCATTTCTTTGTCCCCAGGGACAGTTAGTGGTGAGGACCTCAGTGGTGAAGACGGCCCCCTTGTCTGGACCTCCCCCCTCAGGCCGGGCCGCCTGCCCAGCGCAGCCTTGCTCAGCCCGGGTTTCTCTCCTTCAGGGCTGCGGGTGTCCATCGGGAAGCCCAGCTGCCCCTCTTCCCTGGCCCGCTGTCCTCAGAGTCAGTTTCATCCTCGTTGTGTGAATGAGCTGTCTCCCTTGTGCTTTTCCAAGCTGAAATCTGAAATTTGTTGTATATAGTTGCAAAGAACGTCATCTCTAATGTGTTTTAAATACTGACATTTTAAAATAAAATTCTTCTGTTTCTTTTTTTAATGTGTCTAGTGAAGTATAAAAAAACCTTAACAGTTTGTCTTCCATCTTTTTAAAAAAAAAATAGTAACAAGCTTTACACTAACAGCCCAAAACCATAAATCATGGCTTTTCTCTTTGTATTTATACTCCTCCCATCAGTTTTATCCAAATTTAAGGTAATTTTAACCTTGAAAACCTTTTTTGATAATCTTGTCATAATTCTTTGGAACAAAAACTTTCTATGAACTGAAATATCTTTAAAGTGAATTTCGTGTGACTATTAGCATTAAATATTCTTGCTTTGGATTTTGCTTTCATCAAAACTCTTATCATACACTGTTGATCAAGATACCATGTGTATGATCGTAAATAATGGACAAGTAGAAAGCACAAATAAAATTGCATTGAAAATGAATCTTTTGAGACATGATTTGAGGGTTTTTTTTAAATTATTTCATATAGTCATTATTATTTATTGCTGGAATAATGTGGAATTTGGCCTCCATTTCATTCTCGTTTTCCACTTCTGTTCATGTAAAAGCCAAAAAGCCTATTCACAGAAATAATTAGAAGGAATGGAAGGTTTGTTATGGTGACATCACCCAGGGATTTGAACACCCGCCGAAGTATGTGTTCAAAATCACATGCAACTTATCATCAGAAATGTATCTCCTGCTGTCTGCTGACACGCTAGACCCTTTTTAAAAATTGAATATGATCGCTTAATAATATTGTGCTAGCTTCCGCTGCACAATGTCGTGAATCAGCGTTACGTATACCCGTATTCCCTCTCTCGTGAGTCTCCCTCCCACCCCCTGTACTGATCGAACTTGTATCCCCTGCATTGGCAGGTGGTTTCTTTACCTCTGAGCCGCCAGGAAAGACCCTAGATCCTTTTTTAAATTTGTTGATAGCAAAGACTCAGAAGCTGCCTGAGCTGGCAAAGGTTTTTTTCGGCCAAGCTGTGTGACCAAGCTCCCCGACCAAGGATCGCACCCAAATCCTCTGCAGCAAAAGCACAGAGTCCTAACCACTGGACTGCTAGAAAAGTCCTGGCAAAGGACTTACCATCAGTCATTGGAGTCACACTTTTTCAGCTTCCTGCAAGTTCATCCAAAGGTCTTTTCACCTGAAAAAGGCCCATTAATTATGCCATTTATTCCTTTACTCAGAGGTACACTGTTAAACCCGTTATCATGGAAGGAAAGAAAGAAAAAAAAAGAAAAGAAATGGGACGGTTGCCGATTTCAAACTGGCTTGGCCACCGTTACACCCTGAAGTTACAGGTTTCGTTCATCCCACATACAGGAAATTTTCACCATAGACCGACACATCACTAAGGTCAGTCCTTGGGGTGAGAGGTCAGAGTACCATCAGAAGACATCCTACAGATTGTTCTATTCTGTAGAGTCTATTTGTTTATTTATGGCCGCCCTGGGTCTTCTCGCTGCGTGGCCTCTCTCTGGCTGTGGCTCGTGGGGGCCTCCCTTCGCTGTGGTTCGCGGGCAACTCACTGCCGCGGCTCCTCTTGTTTCCCCGGAGCTCTGGCTCTAGGGCGCTCGCTCGGGCGACAGCAGCTGTGACTTACTGGCTCTAGTGGCTCTGGCGCATGTGGAACCTTCCTGCACCAGGGATCAAACCCGAGTTCCCTGCATTGGCAGATGGATTCTTACCCACTACGCCACCAGGGAAGTCCTAACTACACTTTTTCAGCTCAGACAAGAGAGTTAATATGAGCGTCCATAGCAGGCTCCGTACTTTGGACTTGAACCGTGAGGAAGGCCATAGGCGGACACATCTGTACACAGACAGCAAGGGCCAGATTTCTGCCCTGAGCTGGGAGCCTGCTGACCTCAGGGGTCTCTCTATCACAAATGCATCTTTGTCCACCATTGGATTCGGGGGGAGGGGGCGGCAAGGTCATTGAATGGAATCGTCCTGTCTCTGGACCTTTGCTCCCCGAGACATCTGCATTCCCAGCTCCCCAAGGCAGGCCACGTTGCTTTTCTCTAGACACCCTTGGCCCTAGAAGGGGCTGCTTCCAGTCCAGGGAGAGCTGGAAGGAGTGTCGCTTGCTGCTTCCCCTTGTTCCTTTGCTTGCCAGAGGCTTCGGCACCAGACAAGAGCTCCCAGGTGGGTGAGGTCTAGGGCAGGAAATGAGACTTTCTTTCAGGATGTGGGAGGAAGACCCAGTGAGCAGAGCTGGGAGGGGTCCATCCCAGGACCCAGCAGCCTGGCAATGGGTCTTGTACTCTTGTCTGTTCACCAAGTATGACCATCCTAGACAGCATATTAAAGAGCAGAGACATCACTTTGCTGACAAAGGTCCGTCTAGTCAAAGTTATGGTTTTCCAGTGGTCATGTACGGATGTGAGAGTTGGACCATAAAGAAAAGTGAGTGCCGAAAAATTGATGCTTTTGAATTGTAGGACTGGAGAAGACTCTTGAGAGTCCCTTGGACTGCAAGATCAAACCAGTCAATCCTAAAGGAAATCAGTCCTGAATATTCATTGGAAGGACTGATGCTGAAGCTGAAGCTCTAATACTTTGGCCAGGTGATGCGAAATGCTGACTCCTTGGAAAACACCATGATGCTGGGAAAGATTGAAGGCAGGAGGAGAAGGGGACGACAGAGGATGAGATGGCTGGATGGCATCACCGACTCAATGGACATGAACTTGAGCAGGCTCTGGGAGACGGTGAAGGACAGGGAGGCCTGGCGCGCTGCCGTCCATGGGGTCACAGAGAATCAGACACGAGTGAGCATCTGACCAGCAGCAGAGGTGATGAGGGCTGGGGCTGCGGCGTGGCTGGGGACGGAGCAGAGGAGTTCTGCGTCCCTTCCCCTCCCGTCCCAGCTAGCCCCTACTCCCCTTTCAGACCCTAGCTCCACCCTGACCTTTCAGAGAAGCCTCGCCTGACCTCTCGAGTCCAACCCCCACCCCAGGGCACAGGGTGGCCAAAGCAAAGCCCAACC